CGCGCGGAGGAGGCCGCGGAGTCCCGTGTTCTAGCAGCTTTTGGCTTCGAAGGCGGAACCAGGGACCTGTTGGGGGCGTCCCTCGGGGAGAGGGTTTCTCCGCTTCCTCCGTTCCCGCGGTTGACACTCCCTCCTTCCAAAGTGGGCCCCCGGGAGGGCGCAGGGCCGCTGGGGCGCTCGCGTTGCGCTCCTAAGCGCGCACGCCCAGCCGGGCTCCCTTTTTCTGCTCTCTCTCCCGCTCCCCACGCCCGGACCACGTCCGCCTCCTCTCCAGGAGAGGACCGGGCTCCCAAGCCCCTCTCCGAGGCGCGACTTTGGTTTGTTGCCCTGGGGACTTCGGAACTGTCCAGAAGGGAAAGCGGGTATCGCGCGCAGACGACAAACTGGAGAAGCGGGTCGCTGGTCCTTCCGCCGCTACGTTGCCGCGCTCGCAGGTCCCGCCATCCTTCCGCCGGGGGTGTGAGCGGGAACTGCCCCGCCCCTCCCTGCCCCGCCCTGCCCCGCCCCGCCCCGCCCGACCCTTCAGGTACCACACAGTCCCTGAGCGCGCGGGCCGAGACTCCGGGCGGTGGCCCTCCGGTCCCCGCGCAGCTGGCGAGTCTTGGTAGCTCAGCGTGCAGACCTGCGGGACAGGACTGCCGAGCCGGCGAGGTGGGAATCGGGCATCTCCCCACAGCTCACTCCGGCTGGCTGGCTGTGCCTTTCCATCCCCGCATCAGACCGCCAGCCCGCGAGTAGCTGCACATCCTTCTCCCGGGGTCGGGGGATTGGGGGTAGGGTGGTGGAGAGGGGGGAGGCGGAAAAACTATTAAGTGGCTCCTCCGCGATTAACGAGTGCTCGGGGACTCTGCCTGACAGCCTCGCGGAGCTCGGAAGAAGAAACCGGGTTCTCTCCATCAAGAAATTTTTGTGGAAGTTCGAGAAAGTCATAAAACGGCCAAGTCTCGGCAGCAGCGGTGGCTCTGGGTGTGTGACAGAAAAATCCGTGGGGATGGAGCGCCCTGGACACCGGCTCAGCGACGTCCTCACCACACCCCTGTTTGCTGTAACTTACGCGGGGAGAGACGTGTCTCGAGTGACGACCGGCTGGGTCTCCCAGTGCCTCGGACACTAGAGCGATCCAAAGCCCCAAGCCTTTGGGAGGGAGGAAGGCCACGGTGCCACTGGCTGCGGCCTCTGGCCGTCAGCAGGGCTGTACCATAAAGCGTAAACAGTTAACATCACAGTCAGCGCGGGGAAACAGAAAGAAAGCCAGTCTTGAGAACTTCTTCCAGCAGAGTGGACCCCCCTCTCCCCATGTGAAGGAAACGATCATGAAGTTAAACTGCAGGGAAAACTTAAGATTCCACCACAAAGCCGGAGCAGCTGGTTCCAAGGTAGTGATTCCACGCGCCCTTGCCTTCCAGAAGCCTAAAACCGGAACAAGTTTCCTTTCCCCTGTCTCGCCCCTCGGAGATAGATGTCTCCCAACTCCTTTCTGTGTGCAATCCGGCAGCTCCTTCCTGTCCCCGGCAGGAGTGTCGCTGAAATGCTTTACTCTTAACTGTTGATTGTTATCGCTCTGATTTCCGCGCAGCCCTCTCGCCAGCTCCAGGACCCCAGCGGGACCCTGCTCCCCTCCCCTCCATCCTTTCCCCGAGCCTGAGCCTCTGGGCAGTGGGCACTAGCTGCACATGACCGCCAGCACCGAGCACCAGCACCGCGGTCCCCTCGTGCACTTCCCACACACGCGCTGTGGGGGTGCGACAGGGATTGCCCCGCGCCCTGCTCTTCAAGGTCAGTTCTTCAGCCCC